AAACAACAGTTGAAGGTGGTCCAAAACTTCTATTTCGAGGGGTACCGAAATACAGGGGCACCACAATTGCCCTGCCTCACACTCTGTTGAAATCTTGGTTCGGCTCCTTCGGTGAAAGGGCGTCAAGAGCCTTAATTGCGGGGCATCATAACATGTATTTTTATGAGCACCCAATTTAAATTGGAACACCACAATCAGCCCAAACATTCATTTTAAAGGGATGCAAAATCCAGGGGCACTTAAAATGGCCCCTAAAGTTTTATTTACGCGGGAAACCGAATTAAGCACGACTCCGCCCACCTTCCTCCCATGCTCCAATGGTCGCATGGGTCCCGAAGGTCCCTTTTTGGTCCCTTGGGGCCGAAGATCAAAAGCCCGATTAAAGGGTCCGAAGGGCAGGCCAGAGGTCGTATGGAGGGATCACGGCCCGAAGGCCGGACCCTAAATATAAGAGTAGCTCTAGCACTGATCGGAGACCCGTGCGACTGTGTCTCTTTTTGAAGCAACTGACTAAAAGCAGCATATCGGATAGTCCGTTCCATGCTATTCTGGGGCCTAGGGGTTATTTCCCGAGCAGTGATAAGGCCAAGATCTTTAAACGCCAATTAAAAGGCATCCTACATTCGCCGGGGCACCTGAAACAATGAAGGACCCACATTGCTGGTCTGTAACCACAGTCCCTAGCAGGAGACCATCCATCGGCAATGAGCCCCAGGGCGGCCAGAGCACATTTGCTGAACAGTGACGATGATGGGCGCCCGCATGTCAAAGGGCCTATTGTGTTGGTCTGGACCCTCCTGACATGAAAGGGCTCCGGAGAAATGGCAAAAGGGGGTACTCATGTACGATGAGACAGTGGAGAGGCCCATGCTAGTCAGGGACACCAGTACCGGACGAGGGATACTCTGCACCGTTTCAACCAGGGGCAGATAAGGCGACTTAGTGTCTCAACAACAACTATTGGACTTCCTGTGCCAGTAGTCTGTTTGCATCAACGAGGGCCCCTGCGCCGTTCCGTTGCAAGATGTCTCAGATCCAGCCGCATCGAGGAGGGGACCGATTGTGATGCATCCTTCTGAGGGTCTCCATACGGTCCTGGGGGCTATCACAAGACTTAAAGCCTCAGGGAAGCTTCAGTAATGCCCATCAGCTGCTGACCAGAACGTTTTATCAATGCAGTTTAGT